GGGTAGGAGATGGCTTCAGGAAAAAGACGTGCTTCTCTCAATGGAAAATTAATTCTTTGTGCTTTTGCAGAGCCTTTTCTCTTTCTGCCTGTGCTGGTTTGCGACACGCAATTGTGGGTGAGCTGGAGCAGCGGAGCACGCATCCTGCATGGGGGACAGGTGTCACTTTAATGAGAAATTCATCATTCAGGACTGAAGGTAACAAATGTTTTGTAGCCATCATACGTGAAGGAGAGGTGAAAAATGGGGGATCTTAGAGATGTTCATGGGTGGAGGGCTGAGTGCGACCCTGCTGGAGGTGGATTCCCCAGCTAAGGGCATGTTAAGTTGCCTCTGGTCTGTACTTAGCATAGCTCTCTGGGGCATCGTTCCTAATGGCTCGTGGGCTGTTGCCTTTATTCTTGGTCTGTGCCTTCTTTCCCATTGCCCAGGGAGTTGTGAGATTGGAGCTGGGGGCAGGTGAATCCCTCGCCATTGGCACTGCCAGAGTTCCCAATGTGAATCCCAGCCCTGCCACGCTCACCCACCACAGGGCTCGGCTGGGCTGTGCTGGAGCTGGCTGGTGACAGGTGAGGGTAGTGGGGATGTGCATGGGGAGGGGAGCTACTGGTATCGGCCCCTCCAAGCCCAGAGGCAGGACTGGATGCTACTCTCCCGTCCCGGAGCAAGGCACCCACGGCTGCTGCTTGTGCTGCAGGACACCCCTTCTCATCCCCTGGATTTCTATGGCTGGTGCAGCTGTGGAGGGTGCAGGGTTAACTCACCCTTGGGAGGACAGGGCTGGCACTGCTGGGGGGAAGCCTCCAAAAAGAGATTTGAGAAGTGCAGACAATATAGATCGTTTCTCAGCCCCAAAAGCAGACAGGGTGAGAATAGGACCCTGTCTGAAAGCGTGGAGAGAGCAGCGGTCCTAGCTCACGTCTGATTCCTTTGCTGCTGTGCATCATTAAGCGAACAGATTTTAGGGGATTCAGTAAAGCAGAGACCTCGCCATCCCTGGCTGCTCGCTCTTCTCTTGACTGAGGTTCCACTTAGCTTTCAAGCAGCAGCTAATTCTTCAATGCTGAGACAGCCTCAGGACAGTGGCTACAGGAACAGAAAGGGGTGGAAGTGCCGGTGGCTTGAATATTCTTATGCACTGAGTCCGTCTTTCATGGGCTATAAATAGACCACTACTCACCTGAGGTTTTTCCTCTTGGTCACTACGCTCAGCCAGTGCTTCTGAAGGGAGTTTAATCCTGCCAACTGCTGGAGTAAAACTCATCACAAATAGAGATGCAGATGATCCTCAAGCACAAGCAGGAATTAAAGACAGAGTGATTCACGCGCTACACCAGCCTGTTTCAGCAATACAGCTGGCGTCACGTCACGGCAGCTTCTGCAAAGCTTAACGAAGATATACTGGTGGAGGCGTGTGTGAATGTCCTCAGTTCAGAGGCAGAAAGACAAACCTGCTCCTTCCATCATCTCAGGAGCTCCTGGAGCCTGAGGAGATGGCTCCCAGGGCATTAAATACAGTATCACCACTTGTAATTCCCCTGCGGCAGCACCAGCAGTCCCAGGCGCTGGGAGCCGTACAAACATGATGCGAGAGGTGGCCTTGCCCTGCTGAGCTAAAAAGACTAGAAAGACAAAGATTTATTGCTTCTCTTTGGTAGGTGGGAATTATGGGGTAAAGAGATTAAACGGTTATATTTAATCCCTGGTCACACAACCAGAAAACAGTGTCCCAGTCTGGGAAGACTCTTGCTGGGCAAGGTTGAATCTGGGATAAGCACATAGGTATGGTCAGCTCCCACCGGCCAGAACCACTGAAGGAGGGGGCGGTTTTTGAGAGAGGTTTTCAAGCAATGTTCTATGCAGCTCAGAGCCAAGGCTCCATGGAGGAACAGCCTCAGTACAGACCTGGGAGAGGTTAGGGGCTGTGATGACCCACACAGAGCTGATTCATCTCTCCTCTTGCCCTTGGTGTCACGGGCAGACCCAGAGCAATGCCCACTCCAGCAGGTACCTTCAACCTGGTGATTCATCTGAGGCAGAGCAGCGAAATGTCCATGAGGAACCACATAAAACAGCTTGAAACTGCTGTCTGAAGAGTTGCTTCTAATGAAAACCAGAAAAGGTTGTATAAGGCCTGGAAACACACATCCCCCAACGGGAAGTCAGTGATGAGCTGCTCAGCCATCCCCAGCAGCAAACTCTCTGATTAACGATGCTGGGGGGGTCATTCCCTCTAGCTATTCTTTTTATGTGCAGCCGAAATTCGTAAAAAAGGTAAGTCTTCCTTGGCCCAGAAGGCTTGTTGGTGACAGGTAGCCTGAAGCAATCCTACCTGTGGTGCAGACAAAACACTTGTGGGATCCAGATTTCGTAGCCTGGGTCTACTCTGGCACCAGCTAACTCGTTTTGGCTCCCCAGGAAAGAGCAAGAGCTTGGACCCATGGGCACAATCACCCTCCAACCAAAACAGTCTGTAAGATGCTCTTTGTTGCCTTTGCCTTTACTCTGCCTCTGTGGCTCCTAGCAAGCATTACACCATCACTCTGATCCACAGACACTGGCAACATCTCAGATTGCCAGGTCTCTGCTCTCACCACAAAAATCTTCTTCCCTTTCATCCTGCCCAGTCCCAGCACCTCTGAGAAGCACCGGAGCAACCTCCAGCCCCCATATGGGTCAACACCAGGTGTTTGGAAAGAAGCTCTCACTGCTGCAACCAAGTCCTAATTCTCTGAAAGCAAAGCAGAAGGATGTTTATTGACCAGGGTGAGAAAAGCTATACCTAGGCGATAAAAGTATTATGATAAGGGAACAGACTGTACTCTCTGTTCTCTGAACACTTTCTGACTCTTTGACAGCTTCTCACCAGAATAATGCAATAAAACTCAGTTACACTGAGCATTTTCCTCTCCTTTGTCTTTGTTTTATTAGAGTATTATTTGTTACTTTTTGTCAACACCTAATTACACTTCTGAGAATGGCTGTTTGGCGAGATGCTGTGAGTAGCTCTCAGAAGACTTTTTGGACCCCAGTCTCAGAAGACTTAACCCATAAACAACTTGTAGAATACAAAAAAAAAAACAAACAAACAAAAAAGACCCACCACAAAACAACGTCACAAAAAAATCACCAAGTTCCATTTTTCTCATATGTGTAGTACAAATACTAGTTTGTGCCATGAACTAATATTTCCAGCATCATCTGGCAAAGAAACCCACCTGGTCATTCGGTTAACAAAATATATTTAATGAAGGTTTCCAGTATTTCCCATGGAGAGATTCGCTGAGAAAGCATAAAATGATCAGTCAAATCCAGACTTTGTTTATCACCTGGGTTAGGTGCTGGACCAGAGAGAGAGAAGGACTGGGTCCTGCACACCACACCAGAGCATCCCTCCTGCTGCTCTCCACTGCCTGCCTCCCACTCCCATGCAGCTGGCTCTGGCAGCGGGCAGCCTGCTGTGCTCTGTGGTGTGGAGGGAAGAAGCTCTCCTGGCCTCCAGCCCTGGCAAAGCATTCCCAGGAGGTGAGTGGGGAGATGCTCCCGGGCCCTCCCTTGCTAATCCCTCGACCCTTGTTAGAAGGTTCCCCCGGGGAACAGAGCAGAAGTGGGTGAATCCCCCACAGCCCAGCAATGAGGTCAGTGCTGCTGTGCCTCATGGTGCAGCGTGTGCTCCCTCACCCAGCTCTGTGTGCTGCCTCGAGGGAAAATCCCTTTTGCTCAGGTCTGAGGTTTAAGGAGGAAAGAGGATCCCCCTGGAAATTGACTGTTCCATTTGCAAGTCTCTTTTGTAAATATTCACTGCTGCCTCTTTTCTCCCTTATTTTATTTCTTGTGCTTGTCAGGGTTTGTCATTCTTTCCGGAGGCTCCAGTACAATATTTCTTTCCCTGTGCCTCTGCTCCCCACGCCAGCTCATTCCCCAGAGGGTGGGATGTGGGGGGGCATTGCTGAGCACCAGCCCGGGAAGGGGGTGCGCCGCAGCCAGCAGAGAGAGCCAAAGAGCACAGATCGTCCTGGTTATGGCCTGGATCTGTATGAGCAGATGCTCAGGATGTGCCAGGGGCTGTCCGAGCTCTGGCTACGAGCCCCCCACAGGGAGGTGGGCTGGAGGCTGGGGTCCTGCAAACAGGGGCTTTCCATGGAGCAGCACCTGCGGGGGCTGGAGCAGTGTGAGGACGCAGGCAGTGCTGCTTCACTGACAAAGATTTTTCCTTCAAACTAAGTGCCTGCTTCTCATTTCTAACTTCTTCTAACCGTTAGAAGAAAGTTAAATAATGTGACAGTAAGTAAACTGTTCTTAGGGCTAAATACCATGGGGTTTATTCTGATGAACCTGTTAGAAATTGCTTCCATGCAAATTTTCTTCCCCCAGCATTTTTTGGTATT